AAAGCGGCATTTGCGGAGGGATGGATTTAGGAGGGGGGTATTATTTGGGGGCTCCCCCATTGGGGGTGGCGCGGGCGCGCGGGGGGGCGGGGCGGCGGGCCGGGGGGGCGCTCGGCCCGAGGGGTAATAATCCCTTTGGGGATGCAATCGGGAATTTCGTTCTTTAACTGTAAACTAGTAGTAGTACTACTACTAGTAGTAGTAGTAGTACTCTACTGTAGTACTAACCCGACCAGGCTGTGTGACTAACGTCAATATACAGTAGCATAGGTAGCATAGGTATAGGTATAGGTAGCATAGGTATTCTAACCCTAGCAATACCGTTTCTTGGAGCTACTGTAGTAGTAGTACTAGTAGTACTAGTACTAGTAGTAGTACTACTAGTAGTACTAGCCGGTAGTAGCAGGTAGTAGTAGTACTGGGGGGGGGGTAGTAGCTAACTATAGGTAGGCCCTACTAGTAGTAGGTACTATAGGTATAGTAGACTAGTTCTATGAATATGAACGAATGCAATATTAACACTGGTCATTTCACCTCTAAAGGACAAACGGCAACTGAATGTAAGTTTATTTACGGTAAACTCACGACGTGATGGTAGTGATGGTGCGTATATAGCGTATAGTGGCGCGATCTATCGGACGGCATATGTGCTAGACTGACGTTGGCTGGTAGGCGCGCGTGACGAGACACGTGTCGGTGATCGGCAGTCGCCGTGGGCGTGTCTCGACGGAAAACGTTTAAATTCCCGTTTTTTACAGCAAACCCAAGCGCACAAGAGTAGCGAAAAATGTTCAACGAGCATTTCGAGCAAATGTTTAGCTACCTGGGTAGTCAAACCCGTCGTGCAATCGCCAGAACTGCTCAACTCAGTTTGCGTAGTCAGTCCGCTCCTATGTAAACCCGTTGAAGTATAATTGAATTAGTTCAGCGAAGTTGTGTTAGTGTGCCGCTACGCGGCTTTTTTCGCGCTTCGCGCGGATATCCGGGCTGCCGACTGTCCAGTCACGTAAAATCTGTATTAGTAAAAGCATTCGTACGTTGATTTAGCTTTATATTGGCATTTTATGGCCCTGTGAGTATAGTAAGTTACAATAAAATCTAATTATCATGAACACTGAATGTTGCATTCGATTTTAAGTCTTTTATTATTTCTGCTTGTATGCCTACGCTAAGCATGGGTCTCTTGCTCACTCTCTCTCTCCTCTCTTCTCTCTCTCTCTCTCTCTCTCTTTCTCTCTCTCTCTCTATTATATATTATTCAACTGATTGACATTTGCCACGTAACAGTTATTGTGACAAAGCCTTTGGCTATATTTATTAAATATACCTACAGTGTAATTTCTAAACTGTCCACGAAACTGTCTCAATAGAAGCAGAAAAGTTACTACTACTATTACTACTACTAGGCCCTACTGCTGCTGCTGCTGTTGCTGCTACTGCTGCTGTGCTGTTGTTCTGCTGCTGCTGCTGCTGGTGCTGCCTACTGCTACTGCTGCTTACTGCTGCTATCCCCGTCACGTTTACTTTCCACTCAGTCGAGACTCCTGCTCGTGAGCGGTAAGAATCAAGCGGCGAAGCGTGTACAGAACCTCGTTATCGTCAGCGCGTAGACGATTCGGGTTGCAGCAGAGTTAGCGTAGGAGGAGATGTAGACCACGGGCCCACACGGCAGCGTGCGGCTACGCAGCCGCCGCCACAGCGTTTGAATGATCCAAACGACGAGAAATACCCCACGATAGCGCAAAGCAGAGCATATCAAGCCGTCATCGTCACCACGCCCTTGCTGTTCGCTGCTGCTGCTGTTGTTGTTGTTGTTATGGTGGTGCTGGGGTCTTGCTTGCGATTTTCTCCCGCGGAGGCCTGCACTTTGCATCGCCCGGGCGCTGGCGCTGCTTGATGCCACCTTGCGGACTGCGCGGCCGCGCCTCTCCATATAAGGTAGTAGGAGCACGAAAGCGTCACGCTGGGAACGGGCGAAAGATGGCGACCGCGTCATTTCCTGGTGGCCCGCCGCCGTTGCCAGGAACAGCACGCATGGGGGCGCTAGCCGACGACGACGCGACGACGCCGGCGTATTGGCCCGCAATGCAGCACGTCTCGCGCGACGCCGCCGCCAGACGGCGCGCCGTCAGCAGACGCGGGTAGGCCATCTGATGCAGGATGGCGTACGTATTTCTCATGGCAACGGCGGCGATGAAGAAAGCTGCACGACGGACAGGCTAGAGTCAGTGGATTCATGAAGGTCTTCCAGAGCGAGCATCGCATGCGCATAGCGCGTTAAGCCGCCCGCCCCACCAGATTTTCGCCCTCGGTGAGCATGAACTGTATCGTAGAGGCAGTCGCACGCGGCGAGCGAGGCGAGCTATGCTAATTAACGTAGTTTCTGCAGCGCAGGTATCTACTGATGCGCCACATTACAGCGTGTTGCCACGACGCTAGCGACTCCCAGTAAAGCAGTAACGTTAAGCGCAACGTTGGTCGTATATGTGAAGCCTGCACCACCACCACCACCACCACCACCCCCCACTACTACTGTCAGAATAGTTCGTAGTGTTGACGCAGCGGTTTCGTTTTGTGATACGCCATGGAGGAACATGATTACGTTGTGTTTCAACCTTAGTTTCTCGCCTTTACGGTCACTAGCAAGTTTACATGTAGAAATCCACAGCAGCTCCTCCATCACCACTACTACTGTCAGAATTGGCCGACGTCTAGACATCGATTTTGATTCGTAGGGTAAAACGCAACGTTCGCTTTTGTGATAGTTGCTACTGGTGCATCTGTTGCTTATTCTGTTGCCCTACTGTTGCTGCTGCTGTTGCTGCTGCTATCTGTTGCAATCTGTTGCATTCTGTGCTACGTTGCATCTCGTTGGTATCTGTTGCCTACTGTTGCATCTGTTGCTATCTGTTTGCTATCTGTTGTACACATGATGAGGACAGTCGTTGTTAAAGCCGCTGGCAGTACGTGGTAGACCGGGACACTGACAGGGTGTAGATAGTAGCGTCACAGCCAGCCGTATGATACTGGCGCGGCGAGTCTCCTCAACGTAGGCACCTCGCCCGATTCACGCGCGTTTCCAATCCACGCATCGGGCCCGGAGTTTGATTTGCAGCAAAGAGCTGCTCCAATCAGCCGTCGCAATCGGAAATCGTTTCTAGAACGTCGCCTAGCCCACCGCAGTTTGTGCGCGACTTCGGCAAGTTCGAGCCAGCAGATAAAATTGCGACAATCTAGGGTGAGCGAGGCAAGCTATACGTTATCCACGTGGTGCTGGAAGGGCTCTGGCTTACTCGATCAGTCTGACGAAGTATTGGACGCGACCTCGTTTGTTGACATGTGGCGCTCAGCTCACGTCAACAGATGCACAGATGTGTGGTGTGGGATCTGAACGCGCCATATATATATCAAGAGTACATAATAGAGACTATTCTATAATAATAATTCTCTATTATGTACTCTTGATATATATATATATATATATTATGTGTGTGTGTGTGTGTGTGTGTGTGTGTGTGTAGTGCGCGCGCGCGTGTGTGTGTGTGCGTGTGTGTGTGTGTGTGTGTGTGTGTGTGTGTGTGTGTGTGCGCGCGCGCGCGCGCATTGTGTGTGTATTAGTTCATGAATTCATCTTCCCATGCACATCGATCCATGTTTAATGGTTGGCTAATAATTAGTGGTGATTGGTGTGTGGGATGGTGCATGGGTTGGATGGGGGTGGCTGCGTGCGCTTTCTGCTGCTGCGCCGGTGCGGGTGTAGGCCGTGTTTGTGGAGTAAACATCCACGCCGATGAAACCTTTTAAAAGCGCCTATATTTGACCGTGATGAGAAATGATCAAAACGCGGAGTTCCCTTTGAATAATAATAATAACATGTTTACTGCGCTCTCCGATCGGTACGCGGGAAAGAAAGAGAGCGAGCGAGAGAGAGAGAGAGCGAGCGAGCGAGAGAGAGAAGAGAGAGAGAGTAGAGAGAGAGAGAGAAGAGAGAGACGGGAGAGAAAGACGCGAGAGAAACATAGAGTCGGAGCGAAGCGAGAGAAGAGAGAGAGATGGAAAGAGAGAGAGAAGAGAGAAAGATAGAGAGGAAGAAGCTGATCGACAGAAGAGCTCGAGAGCGAAGAGAGAGAAGAGAGAGGAGAGAAGAGAAGAAGAGAGAGAGCGAGAGAAACACACGTGTATTTTGGTGTGGCGATGTGTTGGCGATGTTGTGTGTGTTGTTGTGTGTCGCCGCGTCGGTGTATGCGTGCGTGCGTGTGATGTGTGGTGTGGTGTTGTGTTGTGTTACGTAGTTGTTGTGTGTGTTGTGTGTGTGTGTGTACAACAGCGTGTATAGGATGTGTGTGTAAAGGTAGGTGTATAGATACCTTTATGTGCACAATATGTCTATAGAATGTGTAGATTGGTACACAACCCCCAGTATCATACGGCTCTGTGACGCTACTACTACACCTGTCAGTGTCCCGTGTCTACACCGTACTGCCAGCGGCTTAACACGGGCTGTCTCTCACATGTGTAGCAACAGATAGCAACAGATGCAACAGATTCAACAGTAGCAACAAATAGCAACAGATGCAACAGTAGCAACAGATGCAACAGATAGCAGCAGCAGCAACAGTAGCAACAGATAGCAACAGATGCAACAGTAGCAACAATCACAAACGAAACCGCTGCGTTTCAACGCTACGAACCAGACGATGTTAGAACGTCGCCATTCTGACAGTAGTAGTGGTGATGGAGGTGCTGCTGGTGGATTCTACATGTAAACTTGCTAGTGACCGTAAAGCGAGAAACTAAGGTTTGAAAACACAACGTGAATCATGTCCTCCATGGCTATCGCAAACGAAACCGTTGTGTTCAACCATTCTGACAGTAGTAGTGGTGATGGTGGTGGTGGTGGTGCTGGTGGTGGTGGTGCAGGCTTCCACATATACGACCACTTGCGGCTAACCGTTACTGCTTTACTGGGAATCGCTAGCGTCGGTGGCAACACGCTTGTAATGTTGGCCATCAGTAGATACCCTGCGCTGCAGAACTACGGTTATTACATACTCGCCTCGCTCGCCGCGTGCGACTGCCTCTACGGTATACAGTTCGTGCTCACCGAGGGCGAAATCTGGTGGGCGGCGGGCTACGCGCATGCGCATCGATGCTCGCTCTGGAAGGCCTTCATGGCTCTACTGGACGCCTACCTGTCGTCGTGCAGCTTTCTCCATCTGCTCGCCGTTGCCATGGAGAAATACGTCGCCATCCTGCATCCGATGGCCTACCCGCGTCTGCTCACGGCGCGCCGTCTGGCGGCGGGCGTCGCGGCGACGTGGCTGCTCGCGGGCGCGTACGTCGGCGTCATCGTCGTCGGCAGCGCCCCCTGCGCGCTGTTCTCTGGCAAGGGCGGCGTCCACCACGTGATGAAAGCGGTCGCCATCTACGTCGTTCCCGGCGTGGCGCTGTTCGCGCTCTACTACCTTATATGGAGAGCGGCGGCGGCGCAGTCCCGCCAGGTGGCAGCAGCAGCGCAGCGCCCGGGCGATGCAAGTGGCGGCCTCCGGCGGGGATCGCGGAAAAAATCGCAACAAACCCCAACACACCAACAACAACGAACCCAACGAGCCAGCAACAAAGCAGAGCGAGCAGACAACAACAGGCAGCCAGCACAGAACAGCAAGGCAGCGGTAAACAAAGGTGCAACGAAATCGGCCTTGAATATTGCTCTGCTGTCGCGCTATCGTGGTGTTGTATTTCTCGTGGTTTGGGAAAAAAGATACAAAAAAAATACAAGAGGGGAAAAATAATAAATAAGAGAAGAGAAGTCAAACTGAAAAAGCGAATAAAGCAAGACATAGAACGTGTTAGCCGGAATAAAGAGAAAGGAATAATACATAATCTCGGGTCATATGNTATGTAGTAGCAGCCGCAATCGCAGCAGTAGTAGTAGCAGCGCAGCAGCAGCGCAGTAGCAGGCAGCAGCAGCAGCAACAGCAACAGCAGCACAGCAGCAGGCAGTAGCAGTGTAGTAGCAGCAGCAGCAGCAGCAGCAGCAACAGCAAACAGCAAGCAGCAACAGCAGCAGCAGCAGCAACAACAGCAGTAGCAGCAGCAACAGCAGCAGTAGTAGTAGTAGTAGTAGTAGTAGTAGTAGTAGTAGTAGTAGTAGGTAGTAGTAGTGTAGTAGTAGTAGTAGTAGTGTATAGTAGTAGTAGTAGTAGTAGTAGTAATAGTAGTAGTAACTTTTCTGCTTCTATTGAGACAGTTTCGTGGACAGTTTAGAAATTACATGTAGGTATATTATACATATAGCAAGCTTTGTCCTTACGTGCAATGTCAATCCAGGTTATATATATATATATATATAAATATGTATATATAGGAGAGAGAGAGATAAGGTAAGCTGTGTCTGTGTATACCTTCACGACCGTACGTGGTGTCTGAGTGTCACGGAACGTACGTGATGTCTGAGTGTTACCGAAGTAGTTGTGTCTGAGTGTTCACCGGAACGTACATGTGTGTCTGAGTGTTTACAGGAACATACATGTGTGTCTGATTGTTCACCGGAACGTACATGTGTGTCTGAGTGTTCACCAAAACGTACATGTGTGTGTGAAGAAACAGATATAGGCAAAGATTTAAATTTTACTTTATAAACTATACTAATATAATGTAAATGAATGAGTAAGAATGGTAATTACTAGATTTTATTTCTAATATCTATAATTTCTATTAGAATTCTATAGAATAAAAAATAATCTAAGTACGTTACCGACGTTTTCGAGCTAAACGTTTTTGAACTTTCTATTCTCGCTCGAAGAAAAACAGGCACCAGCTTTCAAGAACTCAACCAGTCACGTAAAATTATGTAGTAGTAAAAGCATTCGTACGCTGATTTAGCTTCATATTGGCATTTTATAGATGGCTCTGTGAGTATAGTAAGTTATAATAAAAATCTAATTATCATGAACAATAAATGTTACATTCGATTTTAAGTCTTTCTGCTCGTATGCCTACGAAGCATGGGTCTCTGCTCATTCTCTCTCTCTCTCTCTCTCTCTCTCTCCTCTCTCTCTCTCTCTCTCTCTTCTCTCTTTCTTATATATATATATATATATATATATATATATAATCTGGATTGACATTGCACGTAACGATAATTGTGACAAAGCTTGCTATATGTATAATATACCTACATGTACTGTCCACGAAACTGTCTCAATAGAATCAGAAAATGGTCCCTACTACTACTACTACTACTACTACTACTACTACTACTACTACTACTACTACTACTACTACTACTACTACTACTACTACTACTACTACTACTACTTCTACTAATATTACAGGAGCGTATATGACATATTTGTCATTATACGCTCCTGATATTACTACTACTACTACTACTGCTGCTGCTGCTGTTGATGCTGCTGCTGTTGCTGCTGTTGCTGTTGCTGCTGCTGTTGCTGTTGCTGCTTGCTGCTCTGCTGCTGCTGCTGCTGCTGCTGCTGCTGCTGCTGCTGCTGCTACTGCTGCTATTCCCCGCCCACTTACTATCCACTCAGTCGAGACTCCTGCTCGTCGAGCGCGTGAGAATCAAGCGGAAGGCGTTACGGAACCTCGTTATTCTCAGCGCGTAGACGATCGGGTTGCAGGCAGAGTTAGCGTAGAGGAGAATGTAGACCACGGCCCACACGGCAGGTGCGGCTACGCAGCCGCCGCACAGCGAGTTGATGATCCAAACGACGAGAAACACGCCCCACGACAGCGCGAAGCAGAGCAATATCAAGCCGATCGTCACCACCGCCTTGCTGTTGCTGCTGCTGCTGTTGTTGTTGGTGGTGGTGTGGCGGTTTGTTGCGATTTCTCCCCGCCGGACGCTGCCACTTGCATCGCCCGGGCGCTGCGCTGCTGCTGCCACCTGGCGGGACTGCGCCGCCGCCGCTTTCCATATAAGGTAGTAGAGCACGAACAGCGCCACGCCGGGAACGGCGAAGATGGCGACCGCCGTCATCTCCTGGTGGCCGCCGCCGGTGCCAGGGAACAGCACGCAGGGGGCGCTGCCGACGACGACGACGACGCCGGCGTATGCCCCCGCGAGCAGCCACGTCGCCGCGACGCCCGCCGCCAGACGGCGCGCCGTCAGCAGACGCGGGTAGGCCATCGGATGCAGGATGGCGACGTATTTCTCCATGGCAACGGCGAGTAGATGCAGAAAGCTGCACGACGACAGGTAGGCGTCCAGTTCTTCCATGAAGGCCTTCCAGAGCGAGCAGCGATGCGCATGCGCGTAGCCCGCCGCCCACCAGATGTCGCCCTCGGCGAGGATGGACTGTATACCGTAGAGGCAGTCGCACGCGGCGAGCGAGGCGAGTATGTAGTAACCGTAGTTCTGCAGCGCAGGGTATCTACTGATGGCCAACATTACAAGCGTGTTGCCACCAACACTAGCGATTCCCAGTAAAGCAGTAACGGTTAGCCGCAAGTGGTCGTATATGTGGAAGCCTGCACCACCACCACCAGCAGCACCACCACCGCCATCACCATCACCACTACTACTGTCAGAATGGTTCGTAGAGTTGAACGCAGCGGTTTCGTTTGTGATAGCCATGGAGGACATGATTCACGTCGTGTTTTCAAACCTTAGTTTCTCGCTTTACGGTCACTAGCAAGTTTACATGTAGAATCCACCAGCAGCACCTCCATCACCACTACTACTGTCAGAATGGCGACGTTCTAACATCGTCTGATTCGTAGCGTTGAACGCAACGGTTTCGTTTGTGATAGTTGCTATTGTTGCATCTGTTGGTATCTGTTGCTACTGTTGCTGCTGCTATCTGTTGCATCTGTTGCATCTGTTGCTACTGTTGCATCTGTTGCTATCTGTTGCTACTGTTGCATCTGTTGCATCTGGCTACTGGCTTCAGATGTGAGAGACAGCCCGTGTTAAGCTGCTGGCAGTACGGCTGCTGCTACTGCTGCTGTTGCTGCTGCTGCTACTGCTGCTGCTGCTACTGCTGCTGTTGCTGCTGCTGCTGCTACTGCTACTGCTGCTATTCCCCGCCCACTTACTATCCACTCATTCGAGACTCCTGCTTGTCGAGCGTGTGAGAATCAAGCAGAAGGCGTTACGGAACCTCGTTATTCTCAGCGCGTAGACGATCGGGTTGCAGAAAGAGTTAGCGATGAGGAGAATGTAGACCACGACCCACACGGCAGGTGCGGCTACGCAGCCGCCGCACAACGTGTTGATGATCCAAACCACGAGAAACACGCCCCACGATAGCGCAAAGCAGAGCAATATCAAGCCGATCGTCACCACCGCCTTGCTGTTGCTGCTGCTGCTGTTGTTGTTGTTAGTGGTGGTGTTGGGGTTTGTTGCGATTTCTCCCCGCCGGAGCCGCCACTTGCATCGCCCGGGCGCTGCGCTGCTGCTGCCACCTGGCGGGACTGCGCCGCCGCCGCTCTCCATATAAGGTAGTAGAGCACGAACAGCGCCACGCCGGGAACGGCGAAGATGGCGACCGCCGTCATCTCCTGATGGCCGCCGCCGTTGCCAGGGAACAGCACGCAGGGGGCGCTGCCGACGACGACGACGACGCCGGCGTATGCCCCCGCGAGCAGCCACGTCGCCGCGACGCCCGCCGCCAGACGGCGCGTTGTCAGCAGACACGGGTAGGCCATCGGATGCAGGATGGCGACGTATTTCTCTATGGCAACGGCGAGCAGATGAAGAAAGCTGCACGACGACAGGTAGACGTCCATGAAGGCCTTCCAGAGCGAGCATTCATGCGCATGCGCGTAGCCAGCCGCCCACCAGATTTCGCCCTCGGTGAGCATGAACTGTATACTGTAGAAGCAGTCGCACGCGGCGAGCGAGGCGAGTATGTAGTAACCGTAGTTCTGCAGCGCAGGGTATCTACTGATGGCCAACATTACAAGCGTGTTGCCACCGACGCTAGCGATTCCAAGTAAAGCAGTAACGGTTAGCCGCAAGTGGTCGTATATGTGGAAGCCTGCACCACCACCACCAGCACCACCACCACCACCATCACCACTACTACTGTCAGAATGGTTCGTAGTGTTGAACGCAGCGGTTTCGTTTGTGATAGCCATGGAGGACATGATTCACGTTGTGTTTTCAAACCTTAGTTTCTCGCTTTACGGTCACTAGCAAGTTTACATGTAGAATCCACCAGCAGCACCTACATCACCACTACTACTGTCAGAATGGCGACGTTCTAACATCGTGTGGTTCGTAGCGTTGAACGCAACGGTTTCGTTTGTGATAGTTGCTACTGTTGCATCTGTTGGTATCTGTTGCTACTGTTGCTGCTGCTATCTGTTGCATCTGTTGCATCTGTTGCTACTGTTGCATCTGTTGCTATCTGTTGCTACTGTTGCTGCTGCTATCTGTTGCATCTGTTGCATCTGTTGCTACTGTTGCATCTGTTGCTATCTGTTGCTACTGTTGCATCTGTGGCATCTGTTGCTATCTGTTGCTACAGATGTGAGAGACAGCCCGTGTTAAGCCGCTGGCAGTACGGTGTAGACGCGGGACACTGACAGGTGTAGTAGTAGCGTCAGAGAGCCGTATGATACTGGGGGCGTCTCCTAACGTAGGCACCGCCCCGCATTCACGCGCGTCCAATCCACGCATCGGCCCCGGAGTGGTTTAGAGCAAGAGCTGTCCAATCAGCGTCGCGATCGGGAATCGTTCTAAGAAACGTCGCCTAGCACCGCAGTGTCGCGACGTCGGCAATTCAGGCGCGAGATGAAAATTGATAGACAATCTAGGGTGAGCTGAGCGAGCTATACGTTATACACGTGGTGCTGGAAGGGGCGTGGTTAGCTCGATCAGCCGGACGCAGCTATTGGACAGCGACCCTCGTTGTTGACATGTGGCGCTCAGCTCACGTCAACAGATGCACAGATGTGTGGTGTGTGTGTGTGTGTGTGTGTGTGTGTGTGTGTGTGTGTGTGTGTGTGTGTGTGTGTGTGTGTGTGTG